ATACTTTGCCTGGTTTATGTTTAAACTTGAAGAAAACATAATTTTTTTCAGAAGCTCATGATGTATCATGTAGGTCACAGGATAATAGAATATCCTGAGTGGGAAGAGACCCACAGTGATCATGGAGTCCAACTCCTGACTATACACAGCACCATCCAAAAATCAGACCTTATGTCTGAGAGTGTTATCCAAATACTTCTTGAAGTCCAGCAGGATCCATGACATGACCACTGCCCTGGGGAGCCTATCCCAGTGCCCTACCATCCTCTGGTTGAAGAACCTTTTCCTAGACCCTCCCCTGTCCCAGCTCCATGCCGTTCCCTCAGGTCCTGTCACTGTCCAGAGAGCAGAGCTCAGCACCTGCCCCTCTGCTCCCCTTGAGAGGGAGCTGCAGGCCGCCATGAGGCCTCCCCTGAGCCTGCGCTGCTCTGGGCTGAACAAACCAAGGGACCTTAGCTGCTCTTCATACATCTTCCCCTCTAGACCCATCAGCATCTTTGTAGCCTTCCTTTGGGCACTCTAGTAGACTTATGTCCTTTTCATACTGCAGCACCCAAAACTGTACACAGTTCTTGAGGTGAGGCCACACCAGAGCAGAGCAGGACAATCCCTCCCTTTCTCAGCTAGCAGTGCTATGCCTGATGCACCCACGGTTGACCCTTTTGGCTGCCGTGGCACACTGCTAGCTCATGTTCAACTTGCTGGCAACAAGAACCCTCACATCCCTTTCTTCAGGGCTGCTCTCCAGCCTCTTGTCCCCCTGACTGTACATACAGCCAGGGTTGCCCCTTCCCTGGTGCAGAATCCAGCGCTTGCTCTTGTTAAACTTCATACAGTTGGTGATTTCCCAGCACTATAATTTGTCTAGATCTCTATGCAAGGCCTCTCCACCCCCAATGGAGTTAACAGCTCTTCCCAATTTAGTGTGGTCTGTAAGCTTACAAGTATAATCTCAAGTCCTGTGTCCAAGTTATTTCACAGAATCATAGAATCACAGAATAGTTTTGGTTGGTAGGGACATTAAGACGATCTAGTTCTAACCTCCCCCCCACCATGGGCAGGGACAACTCCCACTAAATCAGGTTTATGAAAATACTAAAAAGAAATGGTCCTAAAATAGAGCCTTGTAGAACCCCACTATAGTGACTGGATCATATAATACATGACCAAATGAAGTAGTAGCGACTAGGTTGTATAATAGAAATTTACTATCAATTTCTAATTGTTTTACTTAGAGTATCACTCTTTTTTGGGGGGGACATTTATCAAGAGCTACAAGAACTGTTAAGTTTACTTCTGAGTTTTGTATAAATGTTCTATATTCTTGTTTTTCAAACCGTGCTCATTTAATCACTGAAATGCTGTAGCACATCAGCAAGCTTTAATAAAACTGCTTGTATGCTTCTAATGACCATGGTTTGAATTTATTGCTTTTATGAGGTGTATAGCTCATTTTTCATTTCCCTTTAGAGGAAGAATAATTAATGAAAATAGAGATAGTTTTGTATATGCAAGTGGCACATTATAGAGACATTTTACTTGTTATTAAGTTTAATGATTTCAAGGGTACTGCTATTTTCTCTAATAGTCCAAAAATATTTATTGATGTTCTAAAGTCACTTTAAGCTAATGTCGGTAAAGATGGAGAAATACTTATTGTGGTTGTTTACACCATTTTTTTAAAACCATACTTTGAAGTGGAAAGTGAGATTCAGTATTCAGTAACATCTCAGTTGCTGAGGTTATGGTCATTGTAGCTGGTGCTCAGATGTAGTCACCTGGGCTCTGGACCAGCTTGGGGAGTCCAGAGGAGGAAAGACAAGATGATCTGAAGTCTAAAGAATGTGGTGTATGGGGGAAGGGTAGCTGGGAAAAAAAGATTGTTTAGCCTGTAGCATCTTCTGCTTGCAGCCTAGAAGGCCAAATACATCCTGGGCTGCATCAAAGGAGGAGTGGCCAGCGGGTGGAGGGAGGTGATTGTCCCCCTCTGCTCTGCCCTTGTGAGGCTCCAGTGGAGTGCTGCATCCATGTCTGGAGCACCCAGCACAAGAAGGATGTGGAGCTGTTAGAGAGTCCAGAGGAGGGCCATGAAGATGGTCAGAAGGCTGGAGCATCTCTTCTAGGAAGACAGGATGAGAGAGCTGGGGCTGTTCAGCCCAGAGGAGAGAAGGCTCTGGGGAGACCTTGTTGCAGCCTTTTAGTACTTAAGGGGACTTATAAAAAAGATGGAGAGTGACTCTTTACTCAATCAGATATTAACAAGACAAGGGAGATTTAGATTAGAGATTGGGAGGAAATTCATCACTCAGAGGGTGAGAGGGTGGTGGGCACTGGAACAGGTTGCCCAGGTTGTGGGTGCCCCATCCCTGGAGGTGTTCAAGACCAGGTTAGATGAGGCCCTGAGCAACCTGATGTAGTGGGTGGCATCCCTGTCCATGTTAGGGGGCTTGGAACTAGATGATCTTTGAGGTCCCTTCCAACCCAAGCCATTCTGTGATTCTAGGATAGAAAACCAAAAAGTCAATTAGTAGCTCAGGTATATGAAGAGTTACTGCTGGAGGGTAGAAAATATACTTCTGTCTGGGAACAGAATGAAGTTACAGATGAAATAGAAGCAAGGGAAGTTTTATGCAAAGGAAAAAGGACTAACAACTTATTGGAAGAAATAGCAGAGGAGGGGTAGAGTGTAGGAATGGACTAGATTATATGGTCCATTCTAGTCTTATTTTCCTTAACTCATAAGGTTGGAGATGCCTCTGTTATAAACGTCCCACTTGGTGCAATTTCTGTAGGATTTTCTCACTGAATATTTGCCAGAGATCATGCTCTATGTGGCAGACGGCAAGGTAGAACACGTTTTCTAGGGTAACTGCTTCTATTCCACATGACCAGCTTTACGAGAAGGTGCTCTTATGACTACTTTGTTTTGTGGAAGCTGGTAATGTCTGGTGAGACAGTCCCTAGTACTCAGGTCTAATTAAATAACATAGAGTAGCCAGAGGAGGAAAGGGATCTAGGTGGAGAGCTTGATTCTTCAGTTAGGCTGAACATCTTTTACCTTCTGTTTACCTAGTGATCTTGTGCCCAGAGGTACTGCAGAGAAGACAGGGTACGTGGGTTACAAATTGTGAGAGCAGGCACAAAGCTGCTTTCCCTTCCAATGGTAAAACCAACAATTTATATACAACATAATCCTTCACGGTGTGGTGTTTTTTTTTTGTTTGTTTTGTTTTGTTTGTTTTGTTTTGTTTTGTTTTTTTGTTTTTTTTATATTTTATGATACTGAGAACCTCCCGTCATGACCTTGTGCTAGTGATCTTGCTAGACGTGGTGGATTCCTGTTACTTTTCTTTATTTTAATAGTTTGTATTTTATCCATTTCTGTAACACATAGATAAGTCTGTAAAAAAACATGTAATAAGCACTAGGAATTTTCAAACAAAAAGGCTTTGCTAATAATTTTGTAAAAAAAAAATTAAAAAAACATTAAAAAAATGTTTTTCTCTGATTATTTCTTCTTGATAAGAAAGATGCGAATGCAGTTGATTTTTGTTTTTTTTTGACTGAGAAATGGTAGATGCCCTCTTTTACATGAAGTACCATAATGGAAAATTGATAAACCTTTAATAACTATTAATTATATGATGTGTATATGTTCAAAACACCTTTTCAGGATTTGAGTTATCTTATGGAATTATGCTGTTTTCTTATTAATTTCTTCAGGAATTGAAAAAATTATGTTTTAGAGAACATTGTAAGACATACCATTCTAGAAATCTGTTGATATTCTAAAAGCATCTTTTACAAAAGCTAATAAAATGGTAATTCAGCCTAATATCTGGGAGAACAATGGCATCTTGCTAACTTCTTTAAAATTCATAAATGAATGAGGAACTATAAAAAGCTGAAAAAATACAGGGTTATGACACTAATGCATGCTTTGTTCATTTATTTGACAAGTGTTTTTGTTCTAATTATGTAAGTTCCAAATATACCAGTAAAAGCATTAGTGAAATTAGATTTCAATAATTTTCCCAGATAGTGAGTAGTTAAGAGAACCTGCTTTCTTTGGGCCCAAATATCACGTTGAATAGTGTGAATGGATGAGGAGTTCAGTGATGATACCTAACGGTCCTTGGAATAATATTACCATTTCAGTTTAAACAAATCAGTATTTTTTTACATGCTTTTCTGGCTTGCTAACCGGAAAATCATTACACTTCTCTTGTATGGCTCTCTAGGTTCTTTACAGTATTTATCCCTCTTTCCTACTTTAATGATATCTGTTGAAGCTTTAGGGTGATTTCTCAGTGGACACTTCTGTTGTCTCAGATATGTTTTGTTGCATGTGGTTGTGAGCACTGATGAGGGTATCGGCTCTTTGAAAAGAAATTTGTCAGTTGCTGACATTATTGCTGTTACTTCTGAGCTGGTGCAGTTCAGCTGAACTTGAATCTTATATCAGTTTCAGTTCTTTATGAATTAAGCTAATGATGAGATTATCTGTCTCTGTTCTATTCTCCTTTTATGCAGCAAGGAAAAAAGTGTTATGAATGGTAGGTAACTGCTATAGAGCACTTGTGACACTGAATCAAAATGCATACACTGAAAACCAGGGGACAAAACCTGCTCCTTCATTTCTTGCATGAAATGATAGCCACATACTTCTATACTTCTTAGTTCTTTTTAAGGTCTGGTTTTAATAATTCTTTTAGGGTCTTCAACGCCAATCCTTTCCCACAAACAAAATTATTTATTATTATTATTTTTATTATTATTTGATGCAAAGGCGAGAGCTGTTTCCCCTCAGAGAACAGGGTAGCATGACAGGCATACAGTTGTACATGTAAAACATTGTGTAACTCCACTATTCTGATCAGCCAAGAGAACATGGGAGCTGTTTAAGCAGGAATAGAAAGCAGTTTTAATACCGGCGCCTGAACTGTTAAGAGCATTTTTCTCTCCTTATTATCTAACTCTTGCTGTATTTGTTCAGCTAGGATTGTGTGTTAGCAGAGCTTCAGCATCTGTCCTCAATCTCAACTGCTGCCTGGTCCTTTTACCAATGTGCCGTGTTCTCTTGGCCTTCCTCCGAGGGTCTCAGAAGGTAAGCACTGTCCTCAGAATGCAGCAGGTAAGAAGAAAAGGGCCTTGGTTTATATAAAGTCTAATAATAATAGACAGAAACTGCTACACCACTGTTTATTACACAGTATATGTTGTCATGGTGCAGGTAGCACAGAGATTCACGACAGTTTTAAAGACAGTTGGAGTTGGCTGGCATTATCTGGTTTGATTGGACTTTTAATGTGGGTTTCTTGAGGTCATTTTTGAGGGATGTAGACCTACTGAGAACTTTGACCAGATGAGATCTGCTCCTTCTTTCCCAACTCTAATGTTAAAGCCATCTGTGTCCCCTCTACTGCTTCACTGTAGTATTCAAGAGTGAACTGAGCTTCACCTCTGTGTGATCTGAAGTGTCCCACTGGAGATGATGAAATTTTAAATAAAAATACCCAAGCTGATATATAAGTTATCATGGGAGAATAAAAGTTATCATGGGAGAATAAAAGGAAATCTAAGAGGGCTTGTTTTCTATATTCGTATTCAGTAAACAGTAGTTGAGCTTGTTTATGATTCACCAGTTACTCTGACAGAAATAGAAGTAATGCTTTCTGGGAAACAAGTGTTTTGTAGATGACTGCAAACCCACCAGTTCTATTCATTGTGTGACAGTAACAATAAGATCGGGTGCCTGTAGATGCAATTATACGTAGATCATAGGTGTACATCTCTTTTCCTCTGTTCTGCTCACTTAAGAAGTCAGTGACTCCTAGAACAATTAGTGCAAGAATTTGTGAATTTTAAGGCCAGAATAGACATTATTTTATGGGCTCTTAACATCTTTGTAATAGATAGTAACTTCAATTTCATCATGAGGACCTCAAAATTGCCTTGTGCTTATAGTCCTGTATTTTTTAGGTTTGAGTATTGTTCTTACAAGGTTATTAAACCTAGTAAAAGATGAAGGTGCTGTTAAATTGCTGCATTTGCTGTTAGCATTTTTTTTCTTTGCTTTGTTTTAGAAGAGAGATTGCTTGAATTCTTCTCTTATTAGGTTGCCAGCAGGAAAACCAGAAGGCTGATAGACAAAAGTAAAACTTTCCATGTGACATGTGGTGTAACAATATGCATCTTTTCAGGTAAGATTTTATCGTGCCGAGCAGCACCTTGTTTGGGAAACACATTAAACAAAGCAGTATTTTGTGGTTTTTCTTTTACAGTACGTTTGGGGGTAGTCTTGCTCTGTGCTTCCCTGCCTCAAATTGTGAATGCTTTCTCAGCTGTGTGTGGGTTTTGTCTTATTTTTCCTTTAAACACATAAGCTTACATTCTAGGGCTGAGGTTTTCCCTAAAATTCCAGTTTCTGGAAGGAGGAGGCAGGTATATGAAATCAGGTCAAAGTCTGCCAAGTGATTCTAGGTTGTGCCTCAGGAATTTGAGTGAAGAGGCAGGGTGCTACAGATTGTATTGCAAATAGCTTGTTCAGTGAAGAAGAAACATTCTTTGGTGGACAGCTTTGAACGTTGTCTCCCCACTGAAGCATGATGGTACAGAAATGATTGCTTATAGTGTAAAAAAAATTATAAAATGCATGCTAGGAATATCTATTACCTGATTTACTTCAGAAAAAATATTCCATAGGCCCTGATGCATCCCATGCAGATGGGATTGTTACTTGGCATTTGAGTAGCTGCTTTCCTTTTGTTCAGGGCAACGTATGCCTCTTTTTTTATAGATCTCAGCTTTTCTGTGTTTTTTCTTTTTTTTTTTTTTTTTTTTTTTTTTTAGTCTTACATGTTGCTGCTCATCTGGTAAATGCTCTTAACTTCTCTGAGAACTACAATGAAGACTTTCTGGCAATAAATGCAGCACACTACCGTGGTGAGGTGAGCCAGCCATCTTTTATATTCTGATTTTGATTATAAAATTTAAATATTTGAGTATTTATTTATCCAATTCTACTGTATGATCCTGTGATCATACACAGCACTGCCAGTTTTGTGTGGTAAAAATACGCTGCCATCTATATGCTGTGGATTTTATTTCCTCCTCTGGACAAAACATTTATTAAGGATATGGTTAAACCAGCAGGATTCACACCTATTTGACTATGAGGTGGAAAATACTGCCATCAAGTCCTTTCACTTTGCTCTTTCTTCTCCTAATTGTCTCCGGCTTCTCTCTGTTCCTTGAGTGGACCTAGCTGAAAGGCTTCTGTTGTTGGGGAGAACCCATTCTGCATTTCCAGCATTCAGGATATAATGCTGTGTGATATATAAATATATGCTGGGAATTAGAGGACAGTGAGACTTGAGACTAATTTGCACTTTTAAACTGCAATGGGAACTGTAGTATATGCTAAGAGTGGAATTGTCTACATCAACTGGGCTGCAAGCTGATTTCTACTTACGAAATACTTTGTTTGTGTGACTTGTCTGCCTGTGATGCAGATCTTTTGAAGGCATACCAGAGCCCTAGTCCTTCCGGCAGGTGCTTGCTTCTGCATTTGGCACTGGAGAGGTATTTGCAGATTTCAGAATTGAGAACAGAGTCCAGAACTTTCTTCCTTGGGTTACGATCAGGTTCTGTCTTGTTTATATTCATTCTAGTCTCAAGTCCACATTTCTTTTCTACCAGCTTCATTGGGAAAGATTTAGAATGATCCCATCCCAGCTGCATCCTTTCCTGGAAAAGGAGAGCTTGAGTCAGCCCTGGCCCAGAAGGACCAACAACCAAGGTCTTCTACTCCCTGGTGAATGACCTAATCACAGAGCTATTCTATGGGAGACAGACATACCAACACCAACTATTGTGCTGAAGTTCTGGATTGAACTCAAGTGTCTGCATGTGTTAGGAGTGGTCGAGTTAGACATACTCTCATCAGGAAGGTTGCAAGGGTTTCCTCAGGCAAGAACATGCCAGGGAGTGCATGGCAGCCTGTACTACGCAGACCTAAGAATTTTTCAACAGAAAATGGACATAGCAAGTTTTTAGTACCTCTAGGATGAGGTACCTCCTGGATTTTAGGTATTCTAATAGCTCTTTAATATCTCAGAGTAAATTCTGCTTAAACCTGTTTTGGTAACTGTTGTGAGCAGTCTGGATGCTACTGTCATCTTCCATTCATGGCTGGAAGAGTGTGTTTACATTTGGATGCAGAGAGGTCAGGGAGATGAATGCCTAGTTTTTCCTGATCTGTGTGAAAATCTGCCATCTCCCTTCCCTGGGTTTTACTGCATTTTTTTTTTTAAAAGCTCTTCTCCACAGTGAAGACAAAAATCTCATGAGGCTTAGGACTTGGAGTGAGGCACTTTTCTATGACGATGACAAATCTCCTCTTCCCCTCCTCAGAGAAGTTCTCTGCTTCCATCTTTTCAATTGTGGTGAAGGATACAGGAACATCTGGCCTTATATTGTCAGCTCCTTTGAGTTCAGTCCTGCTTCACTGGAGTTCACTGCAAATCTCTTAGTGATATAATTGGCAGTAAAATTCTTTCATTTAACTTTCAAATCTCTCACTCTTCTGCTCTCTGTATTCCCAAAGGTATGAGGTAACTGAGTTAAGTTAGGCTTTCAACAAATAATTATCTGTAAAATCATCTGAATCCCAGTTTTTCATAAAAGATCAGAATTATCTTCACTGAAGGAATGCAAGGGCAAAAGGTTTAGTTTATGTTGAATTGCAGTCACTGTAAACTTTTATCAAATCCATTTCTGCATCCTGAATTAGAGGCTACTTATGCTATCAAGTGTGTGAGCTTTATGAGCTACTTGTTATTATTATTATTACATTATTCATATGGATGTAAATCATTTATGTTGACTCTTTTTCCTCTGACTGCTTTTCAGGACCCAAGGAAACTGCTTTTTGCTACTGGTAAGTCTGTTGCAAAACTGACTGAGAAAGTTTGCTGCTTCTTGTCATCACTCTTCAGACAAAACATTTTGATCCTTTGTTTGCATGCCATTTGTTATATCTCAGCTAGGTTGAGATGTGTTATTTGTGTTAATATAACCTGGGTTTGCTTATCCAATAGTCAGGAGGGAGGAGTTACATAAGCCCCTGTAGCAGGATGAGCAACATCTTCAAAGCTGTTGTTGTACAGATGAGTCAGTGGAAAATCGTTAGTTTCAAACAGAGATTCTGCATAATATTAAAAGCAAATTCCTAAATGATTCAATTTCTAGAAAAAGAAACATAACTAAAGAGCTGTCTTCTTGCTTCAGCTGGTTTATTGAAGGGTTGTTTTGACTTCAGAGAAATCTAAACTGTTACCCAGGAATCAAGCGCTTATAAAGAGTAAATAAGCAAAGACATTTTTGGTGCAGGAATTTAGAAGGGAGCAGTGTTTGGGTGTGGATGGGTTGCTGTACTGAGTTGTGGTGCTTTACTAGCAGATAAAGGTCTTTCCTTCATGATGTCATCACTTTCACCCTTATTTGGACCACATGCAGAACTAATGACTTGGTCACATTTAGAGCAAGACCCAAAGGAATCTGTCTGAACAGCAGTGAATTTGGGTTGCTGAATTGGGTTGTAGGTCTGTCAATCCAAATCAGTTTAGAATTAGCCATCTCTGGGAAAGTGCTTTCCAACCCCCCCCTAGGTGAGGTTTAGATCAGTTAAAAGCAGAGGAAGTGAGAAACTGAAATACTAGAAATTGGTGTATGAGTGAACTGCAAACTGGAAATAGGTTGGATAATTGATGTCTTTAGTGAATCAGTGTCTTGAAAGAGGGTCACCTGTGGAGGAGGGACTACAAGATGGAGAGGGCGAGTATCAGAACAAGCAGCCAGGATTATACTTAGAGTCTTAGATGAAGGAGAAAGACTTAGGGTGAAAGAAAAAACAGTGCAGAGGCTCCATTAAATATTGTCCTAGCTTCTGGGTACACCTTGAGACTTAGGCAGTTGAGCAGAGGACCTGCAAGGTAGAACTCTTTATCTACTGACAGTTAAGAAAATACTGGATTTTCAAGAGTTTGAGCACTGTTTTGCAAAAAGCAGTGGTTCCAAGTTATCTTCAATTTAAAATGACTGGATCACTCCCCATCCTGACAACTGGTAATTGATATTGATTATTTGTACTGTGAGAGTGCCCAGAAAGGGACCAAAATTTTGCTATACTGGGCGCAGTACAAAAAGCAAAAATAGGATCTCACTTTCCAAACAATTCAGAACTGGATTTACTGACTTTTTTTTTTTTTTTTTTTTATCACAGTGAAGAGAAGGAATAAGAAGGAGCTGGAAGGATTTATGGTGTGCTGGGTTTTCAGATCAGTCCAGGAAAGAAACCTCCTTGCCTGAGGGTGTGAGGGTTACTGTGGGAGGAACAAGTATTCAAGAGTTATAGTTAGTGGAGGAAAATAGTTTTTGCTCTCCTCCCTGTCCCTTTCTCTAAAAATGCATTGATGAATTAGGGCAAGGTTGTAAGTGATTTCATGTGCTCAGTTTGATGGAGAAGAGAGCTGAAGAACTGGGTGTAAAAGGTGACCTTCTGTGGCTTGAGTGACAATGTAGGATTCTAGAACAAGCCCTGTATTACAAGTGGATTAGAAGTATTTGTCAAAGGGAAGATTGATTGCATGCTGCATATACAACTAGATTAAAGCAGTAGAAATGAAGAAGGAGGCAGCAGAAAGAATTTTTTATTCAAAGCATTTTTTATTGCAACTGCTTTTAATTTTAACTTTTCCACGAAGGGATGAAATTAATGTAGTCCGTGAAAAAAACTTCCACTGATTGTAGGACCAAGTTTTTACCTACAGTTTGTAAAACTGAGGAGTGATTTGGGCTGTGTCAGATTTTGATTATCAAACTTGCTAGTAAGCAGGTGATGAGAAGTTTATAAAAAGATAAGATTGCAAAATGTCTCTTTACCACTAAAAAGTCTAAAAATCACAAGTAATTATTTTTAGAAAATTAACATGATCATATACTATAGCTAAGAACAAGAAAAAGATACTGAACCCTTTAAATCTATAGTTTCACTGTTTCCTTCTAGGAAAGCAGGTTGAGACATTTATATTCTGACACTAAAATAGCACTTATTTACCTTTGTGTTTAGTGATTGGAATAGTTGACTTTGCTTAAACCTGAACACATGGTTTTTAGGGTGACCAGGGGCTATGCTTAAAAACTTTTAAGAGTTTACATTCTTCAAGAAGTAAAATGTTCCAATGTAATGCTTCATGGCTCTTAGGTTCTTAGTTCTTAATTCAGATTTTTTGCTACCTGGTGTGGCAGTTTTGAAGATAAGGAGCTTATCATTAAAGTGGTAACTCTGGTCAGGATTGTCCAATACATCTTCAGGCTGATGGTTTACTCTACTTTTGGGGTAGGATTCTGCTTTAGGATGAGATGAATCATGCCCAAGAAATACTTATTTTTCTCCTTTGACTTAAAAAGGAGCCCAGAAGAGACTAGTTCTGATATAGCAGTCTGTATTTGAGCAGATGAGTCCAATCCTTAATGTTTTTAACCTTCTCAAATTCTGACTGTAGATCATTCTCACAGACCTTGCTCTGCAGGCAACAATTTCTAGCATGATACAATGCCATAGAGAATAATTTCAGGCTCTTTCTCATTCCAGGATGAAATGGGTTGGCAAACAATTGCAGTGACAGCTTGCATAGAAATTGATTTGCCTGAAATTCAGTCCCTGACCAGGTTTATAATTGTAGTGTTCAACAGATTTTAGGGTTGGGAGTAAAAAAGAAATATAGAAACCTTGTACAGTCAGTCTTACAAATAAAAAGACAGGATTAATTCTTAGTTACCTGCTTGGAGACTAATATTATGAGCAAAGGATTACAGGAGCAAAGACTAATGGGAAATCTGTGATGCGTGGTGAAATGCAAGGAAAAGAGTATGTTTCTCTTTGCAAGGTGGAAAATAAGACAATTCTTCACACCATGTGCTCAACAGTAGCTTGATACATGAATTGTCTGCAAGAAATATGTATATGTAAAGTTTGACTGAATCTTGATTTGTATTTCAAATAATTTCTACTTTCTTAAAAGGTTATAGGAGACAAGTATGTCTCCCCACAGTTCAAATGTAAGTTATCATGTTTTTTTAGTTCCAGGTCTGACTGGAGTCTTTATGGTGCTAGTATTATTCCTAATGTGTACAGCTTCTACGTATGCCATCAGGTAAGATATAAACTGATCATTACGCTGAAAAATGTCATTTAAGTAATCATATTCTCGTACTGATTAGAGGGGATGAAGTGCAAGTGTAATATGAGGCAAGAAGTATTTAAATGAATGTTAAAAATAAGTTTTCTTGCCTTTTTTTTTTTTTTAACTAGTTTGCAGCTAAATTAGCACAGTGATTTTTCTATTTCCAAATTTACAAGAACTGATTCAATTGCCTTCAGAGAAAAGCTTTTTTTTTTTTTTTTTTTTTTTAAGGGACATGCTTAGTTAAAACTGTAGACCTTTAAAATTTTGAATAGTTCCTTTTTCTTGTTTAGTTGGTACCAGGAAGCAATAACTAAGCATATGGAAAGTTCTGTCCAATGTATAAATTAGGTCATCTGGAAGAAAAACAGGACGATATTTTTATCTTGATTATTTTCACCAATTATTTGTAACAACGAATTAAATCAGCAACAACAAAACCAAACAAAAAGAAAAGACAATTAAAAATAAAATAAAACAAACAACAACAACAACAAAAAAACACCAGCAAATCTAACCAAAACAGAACTGTGCTGCTTAAGTTGAATGTTGCTATTTTAAAGCTCTGCTTCTGGTTATCAAATATGTTCTATTTAACGTAGATGATGCTTTTGAAGCTGAGTGTGTTATTGGCTCAGAGTAACTGCAGGGATTTCTAGAGGCTTGGTCCTCCAGTGGGTTCACATTCTGCACCAACATTGTTGAACATACATTGTAGTGCTTTTAAGTGACTGGTATCTTGCAGGATCTAGGCCAATGTGGCAGCCTTTTATAGGCTTCTGGCACTGAAGCAATCTTTGGTGAATTCAAAGACTGATTATACATGTACATCATCTTGATTCAGCAAGCACTGCGTGATATTTTGATTCAGTATCTTAAAATTTAAAAGATGTTCTTTTGCTGTGAGCTAGTTAATTTGAACTTTGTTGAACTAATCTGTCTTCTCTGATAAGTGGTGTTATAAGGTGTTGGTCAAAGAAAGCAGTTCAGCAAATACTTGTGCAACTTCCCAGCCAAGGGGACTTCCAGAACTGAGATTTCTGTGAGGAACTGGAGGCTACAGAAATACAGGATAAGACTGCTACACAAGATGTCAGGCTTGGTTGCACATTACATAGTTCACACAGATGCCTCTACTTGCAAAAGAAAGCCAGTTTTGGGAAGATGGAAAAATGAAACAATTACTTCACACTGCAGCAGTAAGCCAGAACAAAGTCCTGTTTTCTCCAAGGCCATGATAAATTAGAGAAAAACAAACAAACAAAAAAAAGGAAAACCCACAGTATTTAGTAATGATTGGGAAACTTAGGAAAAAATATATGTAGTTGTAAACGTATTCTTGGAAATAATAATTTTACGGTTCATGCAAAAAAGCTTTCCATCTTTCCAAGTTACATGCTTGTTATTTCCTTCTTCAATTACTGTAACTGCAAATGCTTTCTTGTCTTTCTGCCACCTAGCCAGCAGAATCAAAACCCTGAACAGATCATCTGCATCTCCTATTACTATAGCAGTAATTCTTACTTAGAAATTTTATCCTGGCTTCTCCCTCAGGCGTATGGCTCAAGCTTGTCTTTGTAGTCTGTTTTACAAAGAAAACAAGCTTCCATGTGCATCTGTCTGTCTCTTCTCAATCTCCTCAGTTACCTAGTAATGGCTAAACTCATGCTATGGTTTTAGGAAAATTAACTGTAAACTTTCATTGCTTATCCAAAACTTTTAAAAAGTATTTCTGAGTGTGTTATACTATCCTGGATTTCAGCCCTAGTCCACTCTTGCACACTAAATTGCTTAATCATTTCTTCCTTCACATGTACATTCTGAAACTTTTCTGTGCATGATTTTCATTCCATTTTCATGTCTTTACCTGTTCAGTAAACTGTATGAATAAGTATTAGGAGGATTGAATTAGTTGCTAATGGTTTAAAGGGGGAAAGTCAGTGTCATTTGAAAAAAAAATCCTAGTTTTTTTTACCATGTCATACCTGAGAATCAGACCACCATTTTTTTTCAGTATTTGTTGGAAAGGTTATGAAGTTACCAGAAAATCGAATAAATCATGTGCATAAATGTTGACATTTCAGGTAACTTTCAAATAAATGTTGCTCAAGAGCATTCCCATTTAATATAATTGCTGGTAATTTTGGAAACCGTGTATTTAAAGAAACATTGAAATGTAAGTGGCTCCAATGCCATTTCTTTTTATAATCAAATATGTCCGTATTCAGTTCCATCTTCTAAACTACCACATATATCTTCTGTTTCAAAACTATCTGTAACAGGATTAGAAACATTTTTTCCAGAACTGTGCTGTTCACTGTATCCCTTTAAAAGCACCACAGTCTTCTCATGCATTTCAAGTTAACTCTTGCAGACCTTCACCTGCCAAATTCTAAAGTAGGTTTACCAAAATTAAAATTAAATATTCAATTTGATCTCAAATTTTCAGGAAGTTGGGTTGCTAGGAAAAACATTCCTTCTTTAATTAGTATCTATTTTAAGCCCTAAGAAGAAGTATGTAAAATAATCAATGTTTTGAAGAGTTATAAAAATATAATAGTTTTACGATGTACATTGTTGAATGTACTAGAATACTGCATATATCTGGAGGACACAGTTTAAAAAGGATACAATTAAGAAAAATATAAAGATTAAAATGTCCCAGTAAGAGGTTTAAGGATCTTGACACTTTTAGTTTAAGTAGGTGAGGCTGAGAGGACTTGATTACATTTGGGGAACTTGACACATGTAAAGAACCAACATGTTATTACAGAGGTATCTGCAAGAAAGTTGAAGAAAAGGTGAAATGCCCATGTCTGGAAGCTGGCATTTCGACATATTCAGACAGAATATGTATATTTTAATCAGTGATAACAGTAAGTTAATGACAAGTGTTGAAAACTTGTCAGAAGTTGGAATAGACTGTCCAACTGTCCATCTCTGAAATTTTGAAAACTTGGTCCATTCTGAAAACAGTGCTCAAGATTCAATGAAAATGAGTTTGGTGTGTAGCTTCTGATATAGTAGCAAGATGCCAAATTAAACAAGATTCCTAAGACCTGTTTGCGGTCTGGGCATAAAGGATATTCTCTCTGCTTTCATCTTACTGATACTCACTCTCACAGCTCCTTCGAGATACTGATGAATAAGTACATGGAAATGCCTACCAGGGTGTGGGAAGTTAGAAATAGTTTAAGAAGTCTCAAGGAAGAAAAAGTTAGTATGATGCTCAACTGGGGAAGGATGATGGGATGAAGGAGGTTTTTTTTTTCTAAGCACTTTTCAGCTGCTGGGTTGCTTAGAACTGCCCTTCCTTGGGTTTTCTTCTTGGTTGCCCTCCGACAGATTATCAAATTGTTTTTTCTGCCTTGAAAAAGGACACAAATCGTGTATTGACAAAAACAAATCAAGTGTGCATTTGAGGTGTATCAAAACAAGTGTAGCTAACTATTTATGTAAAAGACTGTAGGAGGGAGAAAAATATCTGAAAAAGAAAGTTATGTCTGAAGAGTAGCTTCTTGAACGATGTTATCTGAGTTAAAGTTGCTTTTTATTAAATAGTTACTTTGGCTTGAGTCAGGGTAGGGTTTTTGTTTTGGAAGGGACTCCTACTATGCTGTGTAGTGGGAAAGATGTTTGTGTGCTATGAAGTAGAGTATTTTCTTAACCATTTGGTTGTGTGTTTTTTTGGTGACTATTTTTCTCAAGAAAATGTGGACAGTCTTAACACAGAACAATTCCAGATGGGCATTTTCTTTGGTCTTAGGTTGTTTTTAAATTTCCTAATGAATTACTGATGAAAGGAAATCCTCTTTCCCTTTCCCCCGTCCTGATCCTAATAGTGGTAGTATTTCTGTTCATCCCAAGGCCATCAGTCCCAGAGACTCACCATATGCAGCCCTCCAGCCCCCCAAAATTCCTCTGCCTGTCCTCTTTTTGCCTTCTTGGTCTAGTTTCCTTTTCTCCTGTATCTCGTTCTGCTCCATACCCTCAGAAGTTTCCTTTCCCACCAGCCTTTCTGCTGCTACTTGTTAGTATTCAGTTGAGGCACAGTACGCTGCAGCCCTGTATTAGGGCAAGGAGAACACAAGGAGGCACTCACTGTGAAGAGGTTGACTTCTGAGCCCAGAAGCTGAAGAACTGTTCTAGCAGTAAGGATCTGGTAGAGACTCTGTATGACTTCTGAATGTAGGGAAGTTTCCTAATCTGGGGAGAGGTCTTCAGCTGGCTCTGAGCTTCCATGTCCTGCTCTTTTCCTTAGCTTTTTACTTCTGTGCCAGTCACCTGTTCTTCTCAACACTTAGCTGTTTGCAAATGCAGTGGTTCTGTAGGAATACAAACTGGGCTTTGACTATTCTGTGACTCCGTGCTGAATAATAATGTGCTGTGTGCACAGATCTGCTTTTAATTAGCAGTGATTCTGTCTGAGTGCAATAGCATTGAACCATGGTTTATTCTTTTCAGGATTTCAAACTATGACATCTTCTGGTATACACACAACCTTTTCTTTGTCTTCTATATGCTGCTGATGCTGCATGTTTCGGGGTAAGTAAATGAAAAACACTGTCCCTTTTCCTGAAGCACAGCATAAAGACCTGTTTCCTTGACTGTTACCTTTCCTGAGATTGCTTGTGCACAAAGGGCCAACCTCTTATCCAGATGCCATCAGTCATCTTCATTTCTTCAGCAGGTTATTATTTAAATAAAGTTCAGACTGTAGCTTGGAGAATCATGTGTTACTACAGCCAGCTAGCACAAATTTCTTCGCTTTCAAGTTTGTTTATTGTCCATTTTACCATTTTCTTGTGGGAAATCAAGATAACATTATTACTTCTTTCTGCCCTCTCTAACCTGGCTGCTGAGAGGAGGATGTGAAGTTATACATCCCTTTCTCTTTCCTCTCTGCCTTCCATTTTGACTTCTACGGAGGTGGAAGGAACAGCCTCTCAGTAATTATTTCTTATTGCTATATTACAAAATTTACTAGTTTTTCATCTTATTTTCACAAACATCAGATGTTGATGTGCCATCAAGCTGATTCCTTTTGGTCAGATCTGTATCTGGAACAAACAAGCCCAGTTCTACTGCAAGGCAAAACAGCTTCCACAAGTTATGCAGTGTGAAAATCTGGTCCGTTAATATCGGCAGAGCTTCCTCTGGGGATATAGGCACAGAGACTGGTATAGGGAAGGGGTGTTGGAATAAGGTTAATTTCATGTCATCAAGTATCTACTGCAGCATGGAGTGCTGGAATGTCTGCACAGCGCTGAGTACTGCTGTTTAAACAGTGAAAGGTAATTAGGCCTAGCCAGATCACAGTAGGAATATGTTGTTGAACAACATAAATGCAGCTTGAGATCTGGTGAATTGAAATAATGAGTTGAAAACACTGAAACTCCTGGATGCAATTCCAGTTTTTTGTGTGTTTCACCCCCCCTTTTTTTTTCCTCCTTTTTTACCGTGGCATAGCTCTTGTTCATAGTTGAAGAACATGGATTTAAACTGTTCTTACCTTCCTGGGTCAGGATGAACTTTCACTACTAGAAATTATTCTAATTTCTTCTTGAAAACATGTGGTGATTGAGATCTTCTAACCTCCCTAGACAATCTGTTTTAATGATTAACTTTTGAGTATTTTTGTGCCCATTTTAAATCATCTTCACTGTCTTTTCCTTTGCCCATTGTCTTCTCAACCATGCTGCTAGTTCATGAAGGAAGAAGTCCAGTTGGAGAAATTTGCAAACCAAGGCTGCAGGAATATACCAAATACTAAACAGGCATCTCCTCGTACAGATCCTCCTTCATATTGAAGTGGAAAACCTTTCAGTGTGCATTGAAAAGAACTGAGTGGCAGATAAAAGTGAGAGAAAGATGAGTCATGAAGAGTGGGAGTCAGTTCAAGTTTAACTTGCCTAAATTTAGGTCTCTACATGTTCTCTAAGCGTCTGTCTCCCATTATAGTCAAATGAGTTCTAAGAAATATAGTCAATGGAGCCTGAAGAATGCTTCAGCTAACCTGCTGCTACAAAGATCTACGTTCAAGTGAGCTGGATTGAGTTTTTTGCGCTCCATTGGTTATATTGATTGGAAGATCTCTTCTGAGAATAAGGAAATTTAAGCTCCCATGTGTAGGTGTCCAACTGATTCCTACGTGGCAAATCTAAGAGATTTGCAGATGCATAGTCAGTTACTCTACACAGCAAGTTGTTTCCTGTGACTGGATGGTGTAGACAGGTTGGATAAGGATTTACCTGTCTTGGAGTGTCTCCTTTGGAGTATTTTCACAGTATTCTTGTATTCTTGCTTTGTTTCAAATTACTATGGGTATGTTCTTTCCTCTTTTTCTGGGTAGCGAAGCAATTCGCAGCCATATATAAAGTGGCATGATTCATCTGTCAGTTGTTATTGGTGTGTTCTTTCCTCCTTACCCTAAGAGAGAGGGGAATCTTTGAGAGACTTATCCTTAAAAGCTTTCCTTCCTCTTGTACTCCTTCCAACATGACTTTAAAATATTTTAGTGGCTAAGGGCTTACTGCATATCTACATTAAATTAACTCTATTTTAAGCCTGCAATAGCAACAGCAAAAAATAGTTTGTGCAAAATAAAAGCTTGATGTTTCTATTACCAACGTAAGGAACTATAAAACCTACAAAATATTTGGAGTCAAACCTTCGATGGTTTTCATTTGGTATTACTGTGATGTTTAACAGGTTATGCTGGTTAATTGGAGCTGAGAATAAGGTCTTTGTGCTGTCACCAGAGTTATCCAAGGATTTATCTTTGGAAGGGAGAAAATTCTTAAGATTCTACCCAGACATTGACCTTTAGTGGAGTGAGGACCCCTTAAGTAACTCACCTTGATTTGAGCAGCGGAAGTTGGATGAGAGGATAGGAACAGTGTAATTACCTATAAAAACCTCTAGACCATTGACATCTAGCTTGTCATCATAAAAATCTAAAGAAACAGTAATATAAGGTTTCCAGTTGTAGCCAGAAGTGAACATTGTCTCTGTTTTAAGGGTGGAAAACTGGGGTAGAGTCTGATGTATGCCCATGTGAATAGCCTACATGCTCAGCCTATCTGCTGCTTCTGTGTGTCTCTCATCTCTCCTTTCTCTCCCATTTTTGTTTGCTAAAGATATCTTTTTCCTGCTTAGTGACATCCTTACTGAGTTTTTATAGATTCAAATATTGTACCAAATGAATATATGAGGATATATCTTAGGCCCTAAGAGTTGTGCAGAACTTGACCTTTCTGGGTACCAACCTTGGGTGTGTAGGACCACTTGCATTTCCTTGACATCTTCAGAAAGGGAAGTCGTTGCAGCTGCTGTTACAGGCAGCTTTGTTATCCCGGTTTGCCACTCAGCTAGCATGTTTGTAATAGTTTAAACAAGCTAGAGATCATTAGAGGAGATGCACATGTTTGCAGTTCAGTTATTTGTGTCACAAGAAAAACTTTGAATCCTCTTTTGGGGATGTTCAGAGGCCAGATAAGCCGTGTGAGTAGCTGGCAGGCGTGTGCATGAGGCTGATTGGAAGAATATCACATGTGCTGTGATTTCCAGCTAAATCCATGAGGCACCATAATGTTTATGGAGCGGGGAGCTAGCATAATGCTCAGGTTATCTGTCACTTTGCAACTGTGCAATGACCAACAGCGATGGCAGATGCAAGTGATAGGCATGATTGGGCAATAAATACAGACAGAAGCATGGGTGTAAGCATGCGAATGCTTCCCAAGTGATTCTCCCAGGGTTGGACGTGGAGTTGAGAGTGAGCAGGATTAAATTCCAAGCTGTACGTTACTCACTGGACCATACGGGAAGCATGTTATAGCTGTCAGGGCTGCATTTCAGCAGGGAAGGTTGCCAGTAGCCTGTCAGAGCCCATTTAAGCTGGGAATGTTTTATATATCCTACGTCCTTCTGTTCTTGTGAATTAGACTGTCACCGTTGCTGTTGTGTGTGTATGTTGGGGAGAGGAGAGGAAAATTTGTTCTTACGTGATTGTGTACTTGAGGTAAGCCTTCACCACATGTCCTATTGCTCATCAGACATTGTGCCAATGGGCCTTATTTCCCATGCAGCACCATCCTATCTGGCTGTCATTTAGTTCCTCATTTATTTTTTAATATTCCTTCTTGTGTTTTACCTGTTAAGAAATTTATATTTGGAAGAAATAATAGTAACAGAATTCCTCAGACGTACTATTATAGGTTCTTCCCCTCTTTCAATGACTCACGCACACATTGAAATATCCGAGTGTCACAGATTTCCTTGTCTTTCTTGATAGTTTCTAGGTGCAGTTGCAAAATTCCCACTTCATTTTAGTATACATCTAATTTCATCTTAAAAAACAAGCATGGAGCTCACAAAATAATTTGCAGGATAAGAGAGGTTCATGGGTTATTGTGCAGGACTTTTCTTTTTTCCTTCTTTCCTTTTGACAAGATAGTATTCAAAGGAGCAGCAGTGCACACAAATTAGGCTGTTGTGTGCAAACCTGATAAACACCAGGTAGTGGGGACATTCCTGCAGTTTATGATGTGGCAACTTAAGATGTTTCTGCTACTGATTGCCTTAAAAATCGGGGCTCCCTGACTGTAAGGAGAATGAGTGAAAACAGCCTGAGCGTGAATGAACTGGAAATGTGATTATTTATTTTTTCTTCAAGGCTCCCACAATATCTCCCTCTTTCAAGCAATACTAAGCTTGAGGCTGTTCAGTGGGGAAGGGACAAGTAAGCTGGAAAAGTTGAACCTTGCCTCTAGCAACAGAAGGCTCTGCAGTTGCAAAGCCTCTATCTGATTAAAAGTCCTGAAAGCAAACTGAATAAAAATCCTGCAGAAGTTAAGCCTTAAAACTGCTTTCTAAAATCCTCTCCAAATGAAAAGAAGTGGCTTGGTTTTGGCCATTACTTCAGTGTCTTTGTTATTTTTCTTTTCCTGCAGGGGTGTGCTCAAGTACCAGACCAACTTAGAGGAACACCCTCCTGGTTGCTTTAATCCTAACAAAACACTCCGAGAGAACATGACAGTGCCAAAGGCTTTTGAAGAGCCGTTTCCTAACCATACTACTGAACCTTTCCCAGAGGACTTATCAGTACCAGAACCCTTTGTACAAAATAACTTTATGAGAATTTGTTCCGAGGAACCCAAGTTCCAGTCACACTTCCCAGAGGTCTGTATGATCCGACGTTTCAGGTATTACAAGCCATGCCAAGTCTTTCAGTCAGCCATAACCACTAATTATTGCTTTCCCAGACCAGATGTTTTAATAATGGAAAATATTATTAAAACCTTTTCAGGCATTCAGAGATTTGGTGGGGAAAAACAATCTCTATTAAACGTTGTATTGCATTATTATGTGCCTAGAATAGGCTGGAAAAATATCAAGAGATTGGCTGTAATGTTCTTTTTTGTACAACATGGTAAGAGATGTATTGGTCTTGCTATAAATGTGACTTTAAATTACAGTGTAACACTTCAGAGCAAACATTTATATAACATATTCATTAGGCCCTTTTGTATGCATTGTGTGGCATTAATAAATTGAAATAATCAAACTCCATTTGTTCTCTTTTTCGCCATGCAAGTCCTAATATGCATTTTTGGGATGCAGTTGGTTGTGGTTTGGCTTTGTGTAGCCTGTTTGCAGAGAATAATACTACACGCAGTATGGGTAAATGAATAAGATGACAGTGGGGACAGAAAATCCTTTTTGTTTTCCTTTTTTTTTTTTTTCCCTTTTGTTTCTTTATGTTTTGTGCAAAACAGCTTTTACTTCATCCAAATTTACTCATTTCTTTTAAGAAAAGATGAGCAGGGCTGTATTGGCAAGTAGGCTGAGGAGGTTTGGGAATGCTGTCTTCACAAAGCCTAAGGCCCACCATTCAAGGTGGCCTCATAACAGACCTCACAGGAGTTTCTCTTTATTATTATCATTGTTTTCTGTGTGAATCACACATGTCCCTTACAAGCTGCAGGGGGAACCCATTTTACTATTGATCATGTATTCATAATAAAAAACAGCCAATGCTACACTAAAGTCTTCCAACAAAGTCCTTTGGATTCGTATTTTGTTGTGGTAATACCAAATTATGTGGCAATAATGGCAATGTGTATCGGACTCCATATGACCCAGGCAGTGTTTTCTGTGGGGCTTATGATGCCTATTATAGAGTGATCTCTGGGGGAAAAAGGAGCCATGGAAAGAAATGGCCACTCTGTTTTCCTGGCAGCTTGTAACTTTATCCGAGAACTTTGATGTATTTGAAAGTTTTATGCACTTAGAGATACCAGCTCTGAAAAAACAGCTCTGCAGTGTGCTTAGCTCCTGTGAGCTACTCAGGTTCTCAAGGCCAGAGGTGCTTGTGGAAATTAAATACTAATTGCAAGAGATGCTGATGGGTAGCTTCTAGATTTGAGAAGGGTTGAATGGCTGAGCAGATGTGGAATTGATAGTTAGCCCTGCCATAAACTCTTAATAATTGACTCTGGGGATGGGATCTTGGCAAACAGACGCAAATGTCTCCATCTAAGCTGGTCACCCCGGGCTCCCTATGTAGTCTGTGCAGAGACACAGGCACTTGCAGGGCCCCATTTGCCTACCATACACATCTTCCACAGGGGCAAATGAACTGTGCTTCAGAAGTGCCCTTTTTTCTCCCTTGTCTCGTTTAATACAAGCATAAATCCTATAGCACGAGGATTGCTTCTTCGTTAATGTTTTTGCCTATACTTGAGATGATAAAAAGAAGGTAATAGTCAGATAATATTGCAAATCAGACAGTGTTCTTCCTTAAAGGTTAATCAGTTTTATAGTACTCTGGTCTGCTAGATTTTGAAACAGGGTACGTACTGTGTCATTCCCTGCTGAAACCAGTTCCAATCCAACTACATAAAAACAGAGTAACACGGTCACAAATGAGGTCATTAGCATTTTCTTCCTGATTAGTTTTATGATTGAAATCATTTGTGCCTGTGGAAGATGCTGCCAGTTAGACTGACTAAGCCCCCATAACATGCTTGGATTTCTGCATGTGGAAGGGTGTGGAGATTTCTTGTGATCAAACACTGTTCTGCAGTAGATGAGAAATGGGGTTCTGCAGGCATTCATGTAGTCTTGAAACTAGAAAACACAAAATGAAAAGCCCTTGAGGTAACTTTGCTGTTCTCCCATAGACTTGGTTTTGGATTTCTGGACCTCTCTGCTTGTACTGTGTAGAACGGCTGTACCGCTACATCCGCAGCAATAAGCCGGTCACAATAACTTCAGTGATAAGCCATCCCTCCAATGTCCTTGAAGTAAGGATGATCAAAGATGACTTCCAAGCAAGGCCTGGCCAGGTGAGTTAATGGGCATCTGATAAAAAAATCACTCTTGCTCACATAGCATTGTCTTCAGGGATAACTTTCATGTTCTATGTGCTAATCCATCGCTGAGTGTTTTGGACGTCTTTTCTATCTCTTACTCTTTTCCGGTCCATTTTATTTCAGTATGTTATTCTACACTGTCCGAGAGTGTCTGGACTGGAAAGCCACCCATTCACCCTTACAATGGTAAGAAATAAGAGTTTTTTCTGTACTTTTCCATTTATTTGTATTTGGTAAGCAAATGGTATTTATTGCTTTCAAGGTGAAAATTCCCTTCAGAGTAGTTTTTATGTTTCATTTATGAGGGTACCAATGAATATGAAATGGAATGATTATTATGTATGACAGTACTGAATACATATTTAATTTTCTCCACTATTGAGAAAATGATAATGGGAACTTTTTTCAAAGTCTTCCGTAAGTGGAAAACAATAAAAAATAAATAAATAAAATCCATGTGATTTTGATTATTCAATTTCATAAATGAGGTTTTAACCATCTGTTTGTAGACCTTAGTATGTAATGAGCACAAACTCTAATGAATTTTATTTTTTTTCCTGTTAAGTGAAACGGAAAGAGATTCTTGCAACTGCCTTTTCCAGGGTTAAAACAAACAAACAAACATCTTTTTCTCTTAAAAAAAAAAAAAAGTATTAAAATAGACTTATGCTTTATTTTTATATTAAGAGAGATATTAATGACTTAAAATAATATGAGTGAAGTCGTATAATGGGATTATTACTTAAACAGCTCAATTTATCTAGAATGGGAAGTGGGCCCTGTGGAGATATACTGGAATAAGTTGTAAATAAATAAATAATATACCTGAAGTTCTCCAGGAGTGAACAGTGCAGAGGCCTTGGAATTTCTATGGCCATATTACAATACTGCACTGTCTATGTTGTTATAAAAAGCAATGTAAGTCTGAATATTAGTGACAGCGTTGTCCTTTCACTGGCAATAAACAACTAGGTCCTGTCCACTTTCAGTTCTTTGGCTTTGTTTGGTTTTGTTCTGTTTTGATTTGATTTATCTAAATGCCAAGCAGGCAGGCAAGTGCTGTCACAGGTGAATCCACACTGATTTCCACAAAAATAGATTTTGTGCTGTAAATCTGGCAGTGAATCTCACTTAGGAAAAGCAGCTTCTATATAGCTTGGCCAAGCAATATTGACACTTACATAGCCTGATATTTGCAGAATTTTTCTGGCTATTCACATAACCAGTAGAAAGCAGAGGCATGTGCTATTTATCTGTTGTTAACTCCAGTAGGCAATTTTTAAGGCACACTACAGAGTCCCTAAAGATAACTAAATATGCAATGCTGGAAAATGATGTGCATTGCAGTACTGATGGAATGGTAGCTGGATCTTTGTGCAGAATGAGTCAATTGGTATTTATTTATATTTATGATTTGTTTAGCAATCAGAAGATAAATTTAAAGCACTCAGCATAAACCTCAGATTGCTCTTTACACTCATTTGGCACTAGCATAGCTATGTTTAATAAAGCTGTGCCCGTTCTATACCACTGGACACATCTCATTTAAATGCTAATCTCAAAACATCTTGTTCTTATTTTCTGACTGTCCAACTCAGTGGAAGTTTAAATAATTGTTATAATTTGATTATTAGTAATAATTGCACAGTTTGGAAAATACGGGGCTCTTACGAAGATTAATCTTGCTTATATTAGGACACTGCTAAAGCAATGGATAGTGTGATATTGACTTTGAGAAATAATGTCATCAAAGTATTAGGCCTGGTTCAGTAGTCTTTTTTTCTGGCAAAACTTCTTGGTTTTGATTTTTTATTTTTTTGGTCAGAAAAAAATACTGCTGACATAAACCTATTGGTTTAGATCACAGGATTAAGTTAGTTAGGGTGTTGTATTAAAGTCGGATTCTTTGCATGAGTTGAGGATTTCATCTGCTATTTAAAATGGCATAGTATAATATTGGATGTTATAAAAAATGAGTTTTGAACAAAAATGTAGATCTAGGAGCTATGGAAAACATCTCTTGTTCTGAGTTTTCTGAGTGAATATAAATAACTCATTTATATTCAGATATGATGCAGTTTCTTCCAGTTAGATACACAACTAATTGAAAAATTACAGTTGGTGTAATTTTTACACTTATATTAAATATGTAATATTAGAATTGGCAATTTTCAGTTCGTTTTCACAGTGCATTTTATTTTAAATATATAATACTCTACCTGGCAATTTCTGTTCATGCTCAGTGCTTTATACTTTGAAGTGCAGCAATATCTGTCAGCATCACGGTATATTGTTCAAGATTGCGTACATGTTTTAACTATTATAAGATATGAAATTACTGCTAGGTTAGTGAGTCTCACTTTTATTGCCACAAACATATTTCAGTGGAACGTCAACTGTGCTGGAGAAAACGCTATTATTGGGTAAATGGCTGTTTTATAGCATCATAAGGATTTGAAATGCCTGGGTTTATGGCAGTCTTCTTGCCCAGCTTAAGGAGGGGACAGTCATTTCCATATATCTTTCTAGGTCACAGAATATGCCTTGGGCTGCTGTCTTGCTTAGAAAGCTTTGTTTTTTTTTTGGTCTAATACTATGCCAGACATGGGATTGTGCTTATGGAGTGTGTAGGCAATATCTTAACTTGGTATATTTTTCGTGCTCCCATCTGACCTACTTGTCATTACCAAGCAAGTTGGAAAACTATTACTGCTGCTTTTATTCGGTGAAGGTAATGCCAGGGTTATTTTCTCGGCTGGGGTAGGAGCATGGGGCTCAGAGACGTAGTGAGAAAAGCGTGAGGGAGTGTGGGGCTTCAGGTCCTGAGGTGCAGTGCAGCGATGGCTGCAGCAGACCTACAGGAAGGCCGAAGCTTTCTTCCCTGGCACCAGTGTCCTGCTTAGGTTCTGTGTGATGTCCTATATAAGCTGTTAAACCATCTCATCTTGCCTGGAGCATGCTTAAAAGAGAAGTGACCGGTTCAGGCATATCACAGTGAGGACTGTAAGCAAAGCGGAAAGGAAGGGGTGAGGCGGCATGAAGGAGTTGTGCAGATGTTTTACTAGTCCCTTCCCTTCTTGGGGTTATGTAATATTTACAATTTAGCTCAGTTTCTTACATAACGCCGGGGTGGAGGAAAACACTGGGAGGCTGTGTAAAGGGCCTGAACCTACTCCCATCACACTCTGGCAAAGCTCCCATGGATTTCAGTCAGAGCCAGAGGGAGCTCTGAATCTCAACCAAGTGAATGTAAAGAGGTAGGCATTGTTCAGAAATGTGTGCAGTGGTGTTTGTTTTCTTTTCCTTTTTGTCAATTGAAAGCATTCTTCACCCTGATGGAAGGAATGAGCAGAAGTAATTGGTGCAAAAGGCACACAGGAATTTGGAGGAACAAAACTTCCGTTCCTCTGAACTCAGAGCTGCCAGTCTGGTTTCCTTGCTAACCTGTGATCTGACTCTGCTGTTAGAGGCTTTGTGTGATGGAATCGTAGAGTGGTTTGAAGGCCATCTGGTCCAAACCCCCTGCTCAAGCAGGGACACCCAGAGCAAGTTGCCCAGGAGGCAACTTTTTTTTCAAAAGCCCAGGGGGCTTTTGAAGCGTCTCTGGGCAACCTGTTCCTGTGCTCTTTCACCTGCATAGTAACGAAGTGACTCCTGATGTCCAGACAGAACCTCTCATGTTGCAGTTTGTGCCACTGCCTCTTGTCCTGGCACTGGGCACCACCGAAAAGAGCCCGGCTCCATCCTCTTTACTTTCCCTTCAGGTATTTAGAGAGGTTGATGTGATTCCCCCCTGAGCCTCCTCTTCTCCAGGATGAACATCCCCAGCTCTCTCAGCCTTTCCTCACAGAAGAGGTGCTCCGGGCCCTTCATCAGATTGGTGGCCCTACATTGGACTCTCTCCAGTAGCTCCATGGCCATCTAGTACTGGGGAGCCCAGAACTGGACCCAGCACTCCAGGGGTGGCTTCACCAGTGCTGAGCAGAGGGGAAGGCTCACCTCCCTCAACCTGCTGGCAATGTCACTCATCCACTCTAAAGTTCAGCACTCAGAGATCCCATTTTTCTCATGATCATTGTGGAAGCTGGTATGTTGGAGCTCTGTTTTTGAAGCATGCTTCCACCGTTTTTTATTCACCTGTGTTTATTCCTTGACTTTGTTATCCATTGAAAAAGCTTTGAATGGTAACGTAGGATGACCCAACTCCTGCAGGTGACCTGCTGACCAATTCTAGGTATTGCTGTGAGCTACTCTTCATATTGTCTTCATTGTTCCATCTGATTTGATTTCACTTTAACAAAACACTTTCTATTAAACATTTACTTTTTTTTACCAGTTTCCTTGTTACTACACACAACTGTTACTGTTCTCTGTATAACTGTAAAATTTGTATGCCCTTGTGTCTTTACTTATTTTAGTTAGGATACTATTGCATCTTACAATTGCATCTGAACAGAATATAGTCAGCCCCAAGATATTTCAGTCCATAATGGAGATAAATATTTTCAGTAAATCAATCTTTTATCTACTCAGGGCTTTTCAAAGGGACAAATTAATTTTACATGCTTCTATTTGATGAACTGATTTGAGGAGATTTGGTTTTCAGACCAAGTGTAGAATATGGTCTGGAGATCAGACCACTTAAGAGATTGGGTCTGTCCCATAGATAAGAGGAACCTAAAGAAACATCTTCTCTTTAGTGTTTTGCTTCCAGACTGACATTTCTTGACATTATTTCTGTGGAAAAGTGCAGAACTCATCTGCTGTTGAATACAGTTTAAATATTGTCATCTGTAGCATTCTTTAAAGCCCATGGAAAAGAAAACATGCGTCAGTAATGGTACCAACATCTAGTAGTCAGATGGCCCTTCACTGCAGTTCAAGTATCCAAAACATTACTTCCACTTTCTTTAGTATACAAGGGTCAGAAATAATCTGCACTTCTTTCCAAAACTAAAACAAATTGAGTTTCTGGAGTTTCTCCTTTTTTGCTGTTGATGTTTTACATCTTAGATAGCATTCAGTTCTTCTGACTTCATTATGGTTTCTCTTCATTTTAATCTGTATTGATAAGAAGAGACTAAGGGTTGTAGTTTATGGTACCACTGATTTTCTTTCCACTCCCATCTTATATTTTCCACTTAGTATTGAGTTCCCTCTCTTTCCAGACACTTAACCACACTCCT